ACGGGTGGCTTCTACGATGGGGTCAGCGGCACTCGCGCCATGAAAAGACGGCAACAACGACGAGTGGGAATCGTCGGATGTCGGCCCGAAAGCCGAAGCACTGTGTGGAGACACCAGCATGCGAGAACACTCTGAGGGCTCTGGACTGGCCAAAGCCGAGTCTGAGGAGCCGACGCTAAGTTGAAACATACCGATCAGCGAGGCAAAGCTAAGTTGTGTGGAGACGAAAGCGAAGAAAGCTGCGTGCAGCAGCAGGCTCGAGCCGCCCAAACACAAACCCCAGAAAGCACGCTGTACGTCATGCCGACGACGCGAAGTGTAAAGGATATGCACGCGCGGTGCAATCTGGGAGACCCGTGAAGACGAACTCACTTGCTATTAACTCGTGTGGAACAGCAGTAGCTGTTGCCAAGGGAAGGTAGAGGACTGACTAGGATGGGGCCAGGATCAGCTACTAAAGCAGGGGCTACTAGATCCTGTCTCCTGTTTTTGTCCTTCCGTGGGGAGTTGCATCTGCCGCACTTTCTCTGGGCATTAGCCCGCACTACCGTTGGTACTTTCCTACACGTTCAAATCCCACAACACCTTGTCTCTGCTTGCGTTGTCAAGTACCAAGATTGAACCAAGGGGGTGTACCTCAATCTCTCCAGCCCGTGATGGTGACTCCTAGTCTCAGTTGTTACCTCGCATAGCGCGCAGAGGGAGTGGAGGACTCTAGAATTTCCTGTAGTTGATTTCTATTGACTTGCGGACCCCTCGGGGCCATTTTTGTACCATTGTAGGGTAAGTTAACCTGCGACCACGGGAATCGACCGCGTCGAGTGTTGGANATCTCTCCAGCCCGTGATGGTGACTCCTAGTCTCAGTTGTTACCTCGCATAGCGCGCAGAGGGAGTGGAGGACTCTAGAATTTCCTGTAGTTGATTTCTATTGACTTGCGGACCCCTCGGGGCCATTTTTGTACCATTGTAGGGTAAGTTAACCTGCGACCACGGGAATCGACCGCGTCGAGTGTTGGATCAGTTGTTGTTGTTGTTGTTGTTGTTGTTGTTGTTGTTGTCTTCACATTAAAAACCGTTCCGATCTCTCTCTACCCAGTAACTTCGTATGTATGTCCGTACTGCTCCAACACTCGACGCGGTCGATTCCCGTGGTCGCAGGCTAACTTACCCTAGAATGGTACACTCAAATAAAATGGCCCCGAGGGGTCCGCAAGTCAATCGAAATCAACGACAGATAACCGGTCGCCCCGGTTGTCTAGTGGGTAGCCTCGCACCCTGCTAAGGGCCAGGTCATGGGTTCGAGNTGGTACACTCAAATAAAATGGCCCCGAGGGGTCCGCAAGTCAATCGAAATCAACGACAGATATTCTGGAGTCCTTCACTCTTTCTGCGCGCTATGCGAGGTGACAACTGAGACTAGGAGTCACCATCACGGGCCGGAGAGA